AGAGTTCGACCTTGATCGAACGACGACGGGTTAACATTTCGATAAGTTCGAAATTACACTCTTTAAGGCCAAGGGCCTTCGCCACAAAAGAAGAGTTCGACCTTGATCGAACGACGACGGGTTAACATTTTGATACGTTCGAAATAACACCCTTTATGGCCAAGAGCCATCGCCAAAAAAGAGGAGGTCGACCTTACGGCCAAGGGCCGTCACCAAAAAAGAAGGGGCCGACCTTATGGCCAAGAGCCATCGCCAAAAAAGAGGGGGTCGACCTTACGGCCAAGGGCCATCACCAAAAAAGAGGAGGCCGGCCTTATGGCCAAGAGCCATCGCCAAAAAAGAGGAGGTCGACCTTACGGCCAAGGGCCATCACCAAAAAAGAGGGGGCCGACCTTATGGCCAAGAGCCATCGCCAAAAAAGAGGAGGCCGACCTTATGTCCAAGAGCCATCGCCAAAAAAGAGGAGGTCGACCTTATGGCCAAGGGCCTTCGCCAAAGAAGAAGAGTTCGACCTCGATCGAACGGCGATGGGTTAACATTTTGATAAGTCGAAATAACACCCTTTAAGGCCAAGGGCCTTCGCCAAAGAAGAAGAGTTTGACCTTGATCGAACGACGATGGGTTAATATTTCGACAAGTTCGAAATAACACCATTTAAGGCTAAGGGCCTCCGCCAAGAAGAAGTGTTCGACCTCGATCGAACGACGACGGGTTAATATTTCGACAAGTTCGAAATAACTCCCTTTAAGGCCAAATGCCTTCACTAAAAAGAAGAGTTCGACCTCGATCGAACGATGACGGGCCAATATTTCGATAAAATCGAAATAATACCCCCTAAGGCCATGGGCCTTCGCCAAAGAGAATTCGAAATGTCATTAGGGCCAAGTGCCGTCATAAAATATAAAGGGAAAGAAAGACCGGGACTCGCCATGCGGGAATCTACCTCGCCCCAAAGTCGCGAAAAGCAAAAACATAGAAAAGCACACGTCGAATAACAACGAAAAACTCTTTTTTATACAAAGTCACTGCGCAAATAGTCGCAGATTACATACGACCTGGATCAATGTTAAAAAAAGACAGGTATCTTTTCACTCGGCGTCACCCATCGCCACTCTCTTCACCACCATCTCCAAGATATTCTCCCTCGGCATCGACATCCTCAGCTACAATCCATACTAGTCGACCTCCCCATCCGAATTTCTCAAACCACGATTAATGAAGTTCGCTCACCGAGCTCGACCAAGAGGCAACCTCGATAAGCGGAGGGACTAACTGTATGGGTCAAAATTAGATCAGAGAAATTCGGCACGAGGAGACATAAGGTCGTGGTCGGACAGGCCAAGGTCGGACCGTCATCAACAAGGCTAAGGTCGGACAGGCCAAGGTCGGACAGTCATCAACAAGGCCAAGGTCGGACCGTCATCAACAAGGCTGAGGTCGGACAGGCCAAGGTCGGACATGCCAAGGTCGGACAGGCCGAGGTCGTGATGAAACAACTAATCTGCTTTGGAACCCTCAAAAGGAATATTCTACTGAATATTCCCTCTAATTGTACCTTTTTGTAAGATTTCTTATGGATACCCCCCCCCCCCTATAAATAGGAAGGGAGGACTTCCCAAAAAGGGGGGCTCTCTCTCGGTCTTCCTCTCCCTCTTTCTAGAAAATATGTAAACACACCTCTCCAAAGAATTGAGAGGATCAGTGATCCCATACCTTCATCGGATCAAAAAAGGGTCATAAGGTTCTTGTATTTGTCTACCATTGATCTTTATTAAATGAAAGAAGATCCGTCTCACTGAAGATCAGGTGAATCTTTTCCTTTATTCATATTTTTGTTACTTAATGCATCTTTACTTATGCCGTTAAATCTGATCATAATCGCTGTCAACACTTATATTTGACTATGTTTTTCTATTTCTCCTACTCATCTCGGATCTAGAGTTAATTATCTTTAACTAGGATTTACCCCTTCATCTTCATTGATTGATTTGTTCAAAAATGTTTTAATATCTTTTGAGTCAAACAGTTACCGAATCTTTAATTTAATACCAATAACTCAATAAGCTTTTCTTGTTCGGGCTATCGGTTTTACCCGATATATGTGCAGCCCTAATCTCAAGTTCCAGCAACAAGAATCTCTAGATATACAATACAGTTACGAACCAATGAATGATGAGACCATTCACCTAGCCTTCTTTGAAATAAAGGAGTTGGAAATAAAACAAGTGAGCTGTACAGTGGCGTACACAAGATTTTTCGTAAGCGATGTCATACTTTTTAAAAGTGTGCAAGTAAACAAAACATTATTAACAACATTATGTAAAAAAAGAACACAATTCGAATCATATTAATAAACACAACCCAAATATATTACTACAATTCTTTTCGAGGAATTTTGTTTTTAGAAAAGTATTCAAACCACATTAGAAAAATACTAAATATTATTTTTCTGTATAAAGTACCTAATAATCACTAAAAGTTCGTATGTTGTTCTTAATCAATTTTATTGGCAAAAATAGTACATACAACTAACACAGCACAAATAATTTATTGTCACAGCAATGCACCAAAGTGACTGCTGATCGACTGGCTAAAAGTTATCTCTGCTTCAATGATGTCGGCAGTTCGACTCTACTCAAACCAATTAGTTTTAGTGTAAATGAGGCACAAAAACTACCCACGACCTACGCTGGATAAATAAAGCGCCGGACCAGTTTAGTCAGACAGCTGCTTGTTTCAAGTGGTGTCAGTTGAAGTTATTTAAACTGTATTTTGCTTCTGTCTTTTAATTATATATACATATTTAACAAAAAATTTCGATTAAGCGGTGTCAAAGTGACACCGCTCCTTAAGGTAAATCCGCGCTGGGTGTACGCGATGCCAATCTTGATTAGTCGGGCAGTAGGCCCCGAATACCAGATGATATATCCAATTCAAGTTCATGACCAGTTAACAGTCTAAAGGGTCATATGATATAGTACAAGTTTGTCACATATAATTTTCAGGCCGTGGAGCTAGAGCTTCGAAAGCGGATTTAGCCAAACCCAGTTACTACTAGAAATTCGGCCAAAATCGACCGACTTTGGTCTGTCAAAAAATCGATCGAAGTTGGTCGGTATTTTAAAATATTTTAAATTTAATTTTTTTTTACGAAACCGACCAACTTCTTTTTTTTTTGCGAAAAAATGTGGGAAACTTTTGGACCCCACGAAATTTATTTTTTAAGAAACCGACCAACTTTGGTCGGTTTTTCATATAAAATAAAGTAAAACTGATATTCAAAAAACCGACCAAAATCGGTTGGTTATTTCAGTCGGTCATTTTAAAAAATTCAACCAATTTCGATCGGTAATTTTATATTTTTAATAAACCGATCGAAATCGATCGGTTATTTTCGCATGAAAATGCAATTAGAGTACAAATAAAATAAAAGGTAGTCTTAAACCAAAATGTATCAATGGTCTAGTGGTAGAATAGTACCTGTTACAGTACATACTTCAGCACGATTCCTAGACGGTACATTTTTTAATTGCATAATTAAAAATACCGACCGACTTCGGTCGGTTTTTTCGACAGATTTTTTCTGTTTGGTCGCTTGTGAAATTTTATTGACCGACCGAAATCGGTTGGAAATTGCGACTGACTTCGGTCACTATTTATTATCGACCAATCTAATTTCGACGAATTAAAATTAATCGGAAATCAGTCGATTTTTCCAGTTTTTCGACTGGTTTCGGTCAGTATTTCTGGACGGTTTTAGGCAGATTTTTTATTAGTGAGTAGCTTTGGTCCAAATTCTATATTTGCCTTTAAAAATTCATTAAATATATAAAAAAATATTAATTTAGAACTCAACAACTTAGAAATAATAGAATTCCAAGCCTTTAACTTTAAATTCTGCTCCACCTTTGATGATTTCTGTAGCTAATGACGCAGGCGTATTGAATTCAGAAGCAGAGAAGGTTGACACTTTTAGAGATATCCTGTTCAATAAGTTGTCATTTTTTTTTTTGCACGTGAGTTTTCTGTTTAAGATGCTGCCTGCTATGGAATGTGATCATGCAATTTTCCGGCTGTTTGCTGAAGGAGAAAATATTTGCATGCTTTCAGTTTAGAAGTTAGATTCAAGATTTTCACTTTGTGAGTTCTAGATTTTGGAACGATAACTTCAAATATTAATAATAATGTTTTAAATTAAATATTTGTATATATTGAATATATTTCTTAACACAAATACACTCTTTAAACAAAAGCCAATAGCTTTGCCGGATTCATATCAAGGATTTTAGTGATGAAGAGTTCATAGATCCTAATTCCTCAAATCTTTCACATAAGCTAACAAGCTATATATGGAGATCAATCTATTTTAAACTAGGGAAATTTTCATAACTATATTACTTAAAAAGGAGTAAAGACATCACCAAAGGATGTGGTGCAGGTAGTGGCGAAGTTAGAAATTTATCCAATGGTGTTCAAACTTAAAAGAAGTGAAAAAAATTCTTCGACAAAGGGTGTTCAATATATGTCATATACCTCTAAAATCTAATAATTTACCTATATACGCAGTGTAATTTTTCGACGAAGAGTGGTCAATTGACCACCCTTATGATAATGTAGCTTCGCCCATGGCTGTAGGGTAAGGGGCTGCTCCTCCCTTAACCAAAGGTTTCGGGTTCGAGCCCTGAGCATGGAAATTTTTTTTATAGGAAGCCCTACCCCCAAATGGGACCCTACCCGGCGCGAATCCGGATATAGTCGGGCTTTAATGCTGGTATCAAACACAAAGCGGAAAACCAAAAAAAAAAAAAAAAGAGTAAAGACCGGAATGTGTAAAAATTCCTTATTTATTCCTATAGAAAAAAATAGGAAAATTACAAAGAACATGCTCTGAAAGCTCATGCTCCAAGCGAGAGGATTTATTTACACTTAACCATAGTTTCGAATTCGAATCATAGAAATAGACAACCTTTTGATAGATAGTACATTACCTTTTTTATAGACTGTTTGATAGATTCTAGATTAAGTGCACATACATATATCTCTTAAACTTATTCAAGATATTATTTTGTACCCCTTTAATCTTACGGACGATTTTTACCCTTATTCTTAGAATTAACAGACCTCTACTCATTGTCTCCTCCATTCCACCAAGCTAAAAACCTCTGCTCAAAGCTTCAATGCTCTTAACTTTCAGAAGAACCAAACCCAACTTCACTCTGCACTTTGCTTCCAAGATTAAACCTTTTTCACTTCCAAAACTCCATCTTTCAACCCTTTCACAATCAGAAATCAAGAACCTCATATTCTCCAATTATAACCATGGAAAATTTCACAGCCTCCTCAAAGACATCATCTCTTTACCCTCTTTCCTCTTCACAGCTTGCCACAATCTCAAACCCCCAAATGACAATTACAATACTACCCCCCAACTCACTCTTGATTCTGTTTCAACCCATTTTTGCTCACTTCAAGAACTCTCTTTTCAGCTCTCTACGAACCAATTTGACATCAAAGATTGCAGCTTTATCATAGGTAAATCACTTGTGCTTCCTAATTTAAAGCTTAAAGTAGTTATTGAAGCTATTAGAATGGTTCTTGAAGTTATATATGATGATAGGTTTGTGACTTTTTGTTATGGTGGACGTGTTAATATGGGCCGACACACCGCGATTCGTTACCTTAAAAACTCTGTTGAGAACCCCAGTTGGTGGTTTACTGTTAATTTGAATCCTGCAAAGTTTGAAAATAAGCATGTTGTTAGGTTGTGTAGAGTTATGGAAGAGAAAATCGACGATGAAGCGTTGATTTATTTGATAAAAGGGTTGTTTGAATGTGATATAGTGAGTATTCGATTGGGTGGCTGTTATTTAGGTAGAGGGTTTCCTCAAGAATGTGGGTTGAGTTCAATTTTGATTAACATTTACTTTAATAGTTTTGATAAGGAGATTCAAGATTTAAGGCTTAAAACGAGTAGGGAGAATCCGAGAGTTGATGCTAATGAACTTGATGAGGGATATTCGGGAAACACTTTTTATAAGCCGTTGAAGATATATGCAGTTAGATATTTGGATGAGATATTGGTTATCACGTCGGGAACGAAGATGATGACTATGGATTTGAAGAGCAGACTTGTTCAGATTCTTGAGAAAGGTATGGAATTCGGTATTGATAAGGTTAGAACTGTTATTCATAGTGCTACGTCTGAGAAGATAGAATTTTTGGGAATGGAGCTTCGGGCAGTTACACCGTCTGTGTTGCACCCACCAATGTCACAAAAGGCGATTAGGGCGAGGAAGAAGTACCTCCGACAGAAAGAAGTTAGAGCTATGGAGTTGAGAAATGCTAAAGAGACTAATAGGAAGAAATTGGGAATGAAGATATTCAGCCATGTATTTAAGAAGTTGAAGCGTGGTAATGGTTTCAAAACTGATTTCTCAATTGAAAATGAAGTCAACCAAATTTTTGATTCTTGGGCTGAAGAGGTAATGCAAGATTTTTTAGAATCTGTCGATGAGCGTTGGGAATGGCACCGGATGCTCTCAGCTGGTGACTTCCTCTCTTTGAGAAGAATCAGAGATCAACTGCCGCGAGAACTAGTGGATTCTTATGACAACTTTCAAGAGCAAGTTGACAGGTACGTAAATCCTGTCAAAACAAAAAGGGTATTAGAGGAACAAGTAAAGAAAGCAGAGGAAGAAGAGGAAAGGAAATACTCTGATCAGACGATTGCAGATCTGACAAAGTTATGCATAAAAGTTGAGGCGCCCTTAGAAATTGTTAGGAAAGCAGTCAAACTGGTTGGATTCACAAATCATATGGGCCGTCCTAGGCCGATTAGTTTACTTATGGCTCTTGAAGATACTGATATTATCAAGTGGTATGCTGGTATAGGGAGAAGGTGGCTTGATTTCTTTTGCTGCTGCCACAACTTCAAAAAGTTGAAGATTATAGTATCTTATCATTTGAGATTCTCGTGCATCTTGACTTTAGCGGAGAAGCATGAATCCACGAAGCGGGAGGCAATCAGACATTACACCAAAGATCTGAAAGTTTCAAATGTTAATGGGGTTGAAGAAGTGTATTTTCCGACAGAAAGGGAAGTCAAAATGATGGGTGATAATGATCTTATTGATCCAAAGCCTGTAGATGTTTCTCTCGGAATGGCATTGATTAGATTAGCTTCTGATGAGCCCCCTTACCGATGTGCTGCTCATTTTTGCGACAGAAGAGATACAATTGTCTACCGGATTAGGTTACTTCAGAATCTTCTTAATTTGGATCCGTCGGATAGAAGTAAGTGGGTTCCGGGAATGGGCGCTGTACATCAGAGTCTGAGCAAGAGATGCATCCCTTTATGCTCAGACCATATTAGTGACTTGTACTTAGGTAGACTAACTTTGCAAGACACTGATTATACTTCTCTATTGCATGTGGATTAGTTGATATCCGACATTATTGCCGGAGTGGCATCAAGAATGCTGTAAACTACAGTTTTTATACAATGAGAATACACCCACTAAGTCGAAGAGGTATGGTTGATTACTGTGTTTTACTGCATATATTTCCTCGAGTAGGTTTGTTATCTACGTAACCTGCATAATCTTGTTAATCATGTTTTAAAGTTGGAGAAGTGTTAGATATAAAAAGAAGTCATCAATGAAGCACCTGTACAACCATGGTGCTGGGATTTTAGGAAACAATCACATCATTGGATTCTTTTTTCACAAGAGTTGAATACATACTTGGCTTACTGTTTATTGGTAAAGAAGGAAATGACTTGAATATGTTCTTGCTTTCAGAACTTTGAAACATTAAATATTGGCTGTAAATGTAATCACATGCTCTATCTAAAAGAAGAAAAGGTGGTGGCTTGTAATAACAACGTTCTAATAGTTGGCTTTGACAGGAGAGCATAATGTTTCCTACTAAAAGAACTGCCACGATACTGTGAACTAGTACTTACAGATTTACAGCCTCAGAGCCTTTCTTTTGTTTAGATGAAGTTCGATTATTTGTTTAAGCTCTGCTTTATTTCTGTGATAGAAGAAGAATGATTGGTCATAAGTGATTACGAGTTGATGAATAGGGAAACATTTCCGTAATTCTTTCAGTTGATGAGAAGGTGTGGTTCTGAAGATGTGATAGATATATCGGAATTTGAGATTCAAGTCTTTACTCTTTTCTTTTTTGTTTGAATCTTCATGTTAAATCTGCTCCTCTGGTGCTTGTACTTGTTAATTATCTAAGAACAAAAAGCTCCTTTTCTTTTTTGTTTGAATCTTCTTGTTAAATCTGCTCTTCTGGTGCTTGTACTTGTTAATTATCTAAGAACAAAAAGCTCCTTTTTAAGTTACTTTTCAGTAGGTATCCGTTTCTTTCATGTTTTATGTGGAGTTAGAATGGGTTCAGTATTGTGAAAAAATGACATATTTGGAACTTTGGATGCGAAGCCTCCTCTAGTATTACATATTTGGAACTTAGCTTTCGAATCACCCTCCTTTTGTTGGTAATATTTTGTTTGGTTGGTTCCTCTTGTTGGTAATATTACTTTCATGTCCTTCGAGTTTACCTTGATGGACCCAGAGGCATGTCTTAGTAATACAATGGTCTTTAGAAAATCAATAGTTTATTTAGAGCGATTTATGGCTCATTCGTTGCCACTGCTTCTCATCTTGTCTTTAGCCGAAGGTCTATCGGAAACTGCCTCTCTATCCTCCCAGGGTAGGGTTTAGGCCTTCGTACACAGTACCCTCCCCTGACCCCACTTGCAGGAACTCACTGGGTTTGTTGTTGTTGTATTTAGAGCGATTTATGGCAATTTTCTTCAAGGAAGAAATTAGTTCTTGGGTTCTTAAGTTGTGAATCTTTTGAGTTCTACAAGTATCACATTTAACTTGTAAATGCAGGCTGAACGAGTAGATTGATCATGATCATCCTTACTGTCCTTTGTGGATATCCCATGTACGGCACGGTTGTTGTATCTTTTATGTTTTTTATCTCTCATCTGTGGAAAGAGGGAATGATACATGGCGTGGTATACCTGATCATCTCGACTGCAATTCGAGTTGCATTTAGTTGGCAAGTCAGCGTCGGTAGCGACCTTCTCTGCCTTGCTTCTAGATCTTGAGTTGATCTTATGCTGTATGATAGAAGAAAAAGAGTTAGTCTTATACTCTTTCTATTCCTCTTACTTCGCCTATGTTTATTCACTTCATATTGAAGTATGTTTTAGTCACCTATTCTTATGGAGTGGATGTCTGTGTATGTTTCTAGTGTGTGCCTTGTGAATGTAGGTGTTTTTTGTCATCTAAGGATGTGGCCTACTTAGAAATTTGGTGGATAGAGTTTCCTGGTACCTGTTGCTGGTGTGAGCTAACAAGTATCCCGTGGAATTAATCGAGGTGCTCGCAAGCTGGACTAGAGTTATAGAAAAAATGTAGGTGAAACTTTTTACCAGCAAGCAAATTATTGTTCTCAAGTATATCTTGAGTTATACTTCAAAATTTATAGAAGAACTGGGATATAACTTTGATTATCATACTTCTAGATAAGAAATAGCCTTAGTCTATTGGTTTTGTGGAGTCTTAAGTGAACCTTTGACCTCCTAGAGCAAAATACAGCACATAACCAACACACCAACACACAATATATGTAAGTGGTGTCATTTTTTCCTACTTATCCGTTTGTGTGCAGTATTAATATATATATATTTAGTAAAATGTTTCAACGAAGCGGTGTCGCGTGACACTGCTTCGGTAAACGTGCATCCGCCCCTGAACTTGAACCCCAAACTACTACTACAAAAATACATGTTATTATTTAATTATAGACTTGATGAACCTATGCTCGAATTCACATAAAAAATTAGGTGCTCGTACTCCGTCTTCCTCGCATAAAATGGGACGGAGGAATTTGTGCATATATGTTCCTACCAAGAGCATTCATAAGGCCAGTCAACAGCATCGTGGTTGATCTAATCAAAGAGTATTTGACATTAAAAAGAAGACTAAGAAAAAGAAACTCAGGGTGTGTTTGGTACGAAGGAAAATATTTTTCGGAAAATATTTTTCAAAAAAATATTTCCCAATTTTCCCATGTTTGGTTTACTTAGATGTTTTGGAAAATATTTTTCTTATGAACTCATTTTTCTCCAATTGGAGGAAAATATTTCCTTATCAAGAGAAGAGAAAATATTTTCCAAAACTCCTTCTCAACCTTCCCTACCCTCACCAACCCACCCCACCCCCTCTCTACCAAAAAGGTTTTTTTTTCTTTTCAAATTTTCGTTTTTCCGTTACCACCCACCCTACTAACCCTCCACCTCACATCCCACACCCTCGCCCCACCCCCGCCCGCAAAAAAATATTATTTTTTTTACCTTTTTTTTTGTTGCAATTTCAAATTTCTGTTTTTTCATTTTTCTGCACCACCCACCCCAATACTTTTTTTTTGTAATTTCAAATTTTGTATTTTTGTTTTCTGACCCCCCCCCCTCCCCCCCAAAAAAAAATATTTTTTAATATATTTTTAGTTTTAGTTTTTTTATTTATCTGTTTAAAGGTTCAAAATTTTGCAAGTTCCAAGGTTATGAGTTCTGAGGTTTATGTGTTTGGAAGTTTACGGGTTAGAAATTCTGCGGTTTCGAAAGTTTATGAAAAATGTGGGTTCGAAAGGTTGTTGGTTTGGAAGTTTATGACTTCATGTTTATTATATCCAAATTATTGATGAATACTCTTGAGAAGTCATTTTCCTTAATTTGCGTACCAAACACCGGAAAATGAATAAGATTACTACTTGTTTTCCAAGAAAACATTTTCTTAGAAAATATTTTCCACGGGAAACATTTTCCATTATACCAAACACACCCTCATTGTACTTCTTTTTCATAGAATCCAACAATCCCGAATGCCGAAGAAGGGGCATTTGCATCTATACCCGTTTTTTGTGCCACGTTTTAACTTGTGCCCGCTTTGCAAAAAAATTGCAAGCGTACCCGCTTTTTCGCATAACTTTAGCATACGGGGCTGAAGTAGCAAAGGCAATCACGCAAAACTTCAGCATTCTACTAGCCGGGCCTGAAGTTCAGCGCTAAAGCTGGGGAACTTCAGCTCTAGAGCTGAAGTTTTTGTCTTTGTAACTGGGAAACTTCAGCTCTAGAACTGAAGTTTTTGTCTTCGTAACTAGGAAACTTCAGCTCTTGTTTGTTTATAATTTCATTTGCCACACCATCTTGACCAAACTGAAAGAATACATAAAGCTGAACAAGCACTTCCACTTTAAAATTAAAATATTGAACCAACTCTTCTGCTTGAAGTTTTTTAGTCCTTAAATTGAAATTGAAGAGCTGCAGATTAATCCATAGCGATCCAACCAGCTACGGAGTATTAGTTAGTAATGCGAAATACTGTGAGAAACCTAACCATTGCCAACAGTATATTTTTACAAGTTTATTATCGCGATTGCAATACCAGATATTGCATCGAGTAGGCCCACTAAGAAGTTTTTCATTCGCAAATTGCAAGTTTATTCAGATGTATAAGTTGGCGTGAAAATTTATAGAACTCACTGGAGAAATAAGAAGAAGCAGAAAGGGATGAACCTTACTTCTGGAAAAAGAAAAGATAAAACTTTGAGGAGGAGAAGGAGGAGGAGAAAGGGAGCTGAAATTGTTTAAAAAGTGGGTACAAGTTAAAAGTTTTTAAAAAAATGAGTATAGGTTAAATGGGGGCGACCAAATAGAGCGCCCCGTGCAATTTTTACGCCGAAGAAACCATCTTTTATAGCAAACATTTTGACTTGAAAGGGAAAATGACAAAAATGATCTAGTAGGTTCAAAGTAGTCCCCTATAAGTATGAAATGGGCTATTTTGGTCCTTTAAGTTTGTCAAAAATTGATATTTTTGGTCTACGTCAAATATTTAAAACAGGAACTGCACTAGACACCAAAAAGTACCAAAAAATAGCAATATTTACACAATAGTTGCACTGAACTCTAGAAATAGATTTTAAAAAATAGTAAAAACTACAAAAAAAATTTACCTCTAAATGTAAGTTATCGCTAATTTTCTTTCTTTTGACAAGTTCCCGTCAAATCTAACAAACAAAGTTCATTAAATATTTGACGGAGACTAAAAATGTTAACTTTTAACAAACATAAAAGACTAAAACTGCTCTGTAGATACTTAAGGTACTATTTTAAACCTACCCTCAAACATAAGTGACCATTTTTGTCAATAATAAGTCCTTTTTGGTTCTTTAAATTGCACCTTATATATCTTTTTACCAAGTTGGCAAGTTTGAGTCGACTTTCTAATTATTGCGGGAGGAAGACAACAAGTATTTCATAGAATAAGTCGAAGTGCGCACAAGATGACTCGGACCCCACTAATAAAAAAAATAAACAACATACATATGAAAATTGATAGGTTTGGTTTTAGTTCACATCTGTTGTCATTTTGTTATCATGTTGGCCAAAGACTTTAAACTAGGAGTACTTTTAGTTGATAACTTTGCCAACTACTTCGACTGTACCATAGAAAAAACCAATTCAAAAAGGCCCCTCTTTTCTTTTTGGCATTTAGTATTTGAACTCATTTGCTAGATTAACTTGGATTAGCGCCGGATAAAATCCACTGAGTAAAAAAGGGCAGACCGTAACAAAGTATCTCGCGCTCACGCGGGGTACGAAAAAGAGTCGCACCTCAAAAAGGCGTGACACAAACATCTTTAACTCGAACCCGTAACCTATGGATTATATGGGACAACTTACCGTTGTTCAAAAGCTTTCGTCGAGCTAAGGACTCAAACCTTAGGTCTTGTAACAACAAGGATAGAAGAATCCTATCCATCATGCCAGACCCCTCGATCGCGACTTAGATCTTATCAATACAAAGAAACATGTATTACATTTTTGCACCTAAAACAGAAAGCAGTTATTCCATGGAAATATTGATTCCCCTAAAGTCCAAAATACACACTATTAGCTGTCACATCTTTTATCTTTTAATTCCAAGCCAATTGGTGAAGAAAAGTCTCGGCTGTATTTTTTGTCTTTTTACTAACTCCCTACGAAGTTTCATGGAAGCTAAAGACTGATCCAAAAACAAGAAACATCAAAAAATTTATTTTATTGTAATAAAGTTATTAATTATTTTTATACTAAAAAGTTACTTATATTGACCGAAATATCATAAGAGTCGCAAATAATTAATTATAACCAAAGAATTACTCGACTTTACTTAAATATCCAGAACGTCAAAGAAAGAAAACAAAAGAGACAATTTCCATCATATATAGGTAAAGCTGCTATAAAAAAAATGTTTACTATCTTTTCGAGATCTAGGCGAAGT